TCTCACTATGATGCTGTCTCGTTGTTGCTGTAGTTCTTCTCTATTCTGTTCTGTTTTCTGTCTCTGTCTCCTTTGTCTCTGTCTGTCTGTCTGTGTCTCTGTCTGACTCCTATTACACACTTCAGCTCTTTATATAGCGTTTCCAACAGCCCTCCCCCCAGCCGGTACCAATCAGGGCTCACACACGTGCAGCGGCCAGGCAGAGTGTAGCTCATAGGCACGTAGCAAGATCATCAGGCTGGCAGCACCTGTTTTGGGGCTCACCATACTTCAGAGTTGGGGTAAACAAGCGGGATTCACGAGCCTTGGCAATCAGCCAAGAGTTGAAGTAAACAGCACGAGGTTTGGCTGCCAGCCAGGGCTCCATCTTGGGCTGGCTCGGCTGTGCTCGCTTCCCACACATGAGTGTATTGCCTGTATGTATGTAAGTATATCCGTGTCCTGCAATTCCCGCTGATGTCAGAAGAAGACATTGAATCCCCTGGAACTGGAGTTACAGAGGTTTTTAGTCGCCATCTGGGTGCTGAGAATCAAACTCAGGTCCTCTGCAAGAACAACCAGTACTCTTAACCGCTGAGCCATCTCTCCAGACCCCCAGTGCTCAGATGTTTAATTAAAAAATTTAATAAACGTGTTTATTAATTCTTTGAGAACGTTACACAATGGAATTTTATTCTATTTCTCCCTCCCCCGCATTGAGAGCCGCCCTCCCTTTCTTATTGAGGCCAGTATGTATTTCCCAAATACTCTTAGGTGTGGAATTTGCCCTGAAATGTGGTCAAGTCAGAGTCACACTCTTAAAGAAAACTGACTCCCAATTTTTAATGTTTTTATAAATTGAATAAATAAGTGACTGATTGCAGGAAAATACTGAGAGATGAGTTTAGATCCTAGTTTTCAAGAATATAATGAAATGATTTCGTATAAAGTAATTTAGAAGAAACAGTGTTTTGCTTTAAGTGTGTAACTAAAATCCAGGCACATGGTAAATCCTATGCATATTTTAGATGTTATTAATGTGTGGTTTATGTTGGAGAATTATATGGAATTTTAAAAAAAAATATGTGTATATTTAATATATAGTTACTTATGTAGTGAACCCATGTGCATATGTATATGGTGTTATATAGTGCATATAACGATGTATAGAAATGCTTACCTTGCATGAAGGAGTTACACTGGATATGTTCTGGCTACCGTTTTTAACATTAAAATAGATCTTAGAAATTATGATAGCATGTTAAATATGATTATTTTGTCTTTTATATTCTAGATACCAAAATCATTTCTCTTTCTCATCTTGAAATGACCTGGACTACCAGAAAGAATTTTCCTGCTTTGCTTGTGAGGATCTTGAATAAATCAAAACTGAGATACTATGGGAAACCTAATAAAAGGACAGTTGAGCCGTACCAGGTATGTTGAATTTATAGATTATAATGTACATGCTTAAGTCTCTATTGAGAAAAACTGTTTAAATAACATTTCACAGGTTCAATTTAATAATTTTAATTTATATAGATTTATAAACAAAGTATTTTTCTATGTGATTTTATTAATATAAAGAAATTCATGGGGATTAGGAATATAGAACAGTGGTAGAGCATTTTGCTAGCATGTGCAAAGTCCTGGGCTCAGTTCCCAGCACCACAAAACAGGGATAAAAAAGAAAAAATAACTCTTTCTGTAATGGTGCTCTATAGTTTCCTGATCTGGCTGGTCTCCTTCCCAATTTATTCTTTGTCTTCTATCTTTACTATGTTGTGCTTTCTGTATCAACTCTAGCTTTTAAAGTTTTTACAAGGACACAGATTAGTAAAGGATAAAGGAATCTCCCTGGGTGTTATGACTTCTCTTTTCCCCTCTCTCCTCTTCAGAAAGCACTAGATGCTTTCGCTTTCTTGCCTTTCATTTACTTCTCAACACAATTAGTTTGGTTTGTTTGTTTGTTTGTTTGTTTGTTTTTGACCTCATGGTTCACTAGTGACCTTCTAATTCTCAGGATAGCCTACATCTATTATCTTGACTCTGTGCCTTATAATGCTGTGAGATCTATTTTCCTGATATTTGTCCTCTTCCTCCCCCTCCCTCTCCTTGTCTTCCCCCATCCTCCTCCCCCCTTCCTCCTCCTCCTCCTCCTTCTCCTCCTCCTCCTCCTCCTCCTCCTTCTCCTCCTTCTCTAAGCCTCCGTTTTCTAATCAGCAAAATGGAAGTGCTGATTATAAATGCCTTACAGAGTTGATGGCATAGTAGAATTAACATAGATAAATCCCTTACCATTTTTGTTTCAGACACATAGTAAGACCTCTATTTTAGCTATTGTTAGGTATAGTGTCTGATTAAACTATTCATTTCAGTGCCTAATATAATATCTGGAGCATAATGTGAACTCAACGCATTTTAAGTGATTAAATGAATGAATTACCAACATGTATAGTCATTGGTAAGAGAAAGGCTCTTAGAATGTAAATATTTGAAAAGAAGTTACAAGAACTATCCTCTAGGCATAACCGCTGTTGTCTGTCTTTATATTTTAAAACAATTTACATTGCAAAATATTTCCTTAATCTGACTGTGCCCAATAATAATGTTGATATTAGTATCTCCTTCTTTCAAATAGCATCACAGAAACAATTCCCGTACCATTTATAACAAATTCTCAGATACGAGTATAAGTAAATTAATATTATCAGAACATTGATGGCATTATGTCAACTTTAATACATGTCTATCAAAAGCTCTATAAGATAAAAAATACCAAGGCCCTTCAGCCATGCAAATGACCAAAAAGGGTATCAAGAACTTAAAAATGTGACTTGTCTAATTCATTTGATGAATGTATTCTGTGGTTACTCTATGTATGACATTGTGTTAAGCATTATGGAAAAATTTAATACAAATATGAATAGTTCTATTTCTTCAAAGTTTATAGTCACATAGTAAGTCAGTATTACATGCAGGACTAACAGGTATCTTGTAACAGTCTCTCTTTTAGCTTAGCAATCTTTGCAGAGTTGACAACTGAATCATTACTAATAAACTAAGATTAAAGTGTTACTTTTCTTTCAGTATAAATTTTTGCAGTTATGTCATTATGCCATCCATATAGATAAAAATAGCAAATGTATATGTGATTTTACTCTTTTTTTCTCTAGACCTATTTGGAAATTGCTGACAGATCAGGCATGGCATCAGTGATTTTGTGGAATGCTTTGTGTGCTGAATGGTATAAAAGTTTACAAGTGGGCTTAGTTCTTCTCCTTCAAGATTATTCTGTGAAAAAGAGCTATCCACTCAGGATTCAGTCTGTACCTGTGGATCCAAAGACAAGACTAATTTCCACAATGGGTTAAGTATTCAGTGAATTTATTATACCATGGCCATCTTACATAAATTTGCAGTGTCATGTAAGGCAAAGGACAGTAAAAGTAACTGAAGCTGCTGACAAACTTAAATACCTTTAAAATTTTCAAGAAGCGGGGACTGGAGAGCTACCTCAGAGGTTAAGAGCACTGGCTGCTCTGGCAGAGGACCTGGGTTTGATTCCCAGAACCCACATGGAGACTAACAAATGTCCATAATTTCGGTTCCAGTGGATCCCATGCCCTCTTCTGACCTCCACAAGCATTACACAACAGAGATGCACTTACCTACATGCAGACAGTACATTCATACACATAAATAATAAGAATAATAAAAATATTTTTTAAATTTCAAGGAGTTCCTAATTTAATAACCAGACTAATTAGACTTCTTAGTGCATTTATTGAGAAAGAGCATGAGAGATGCTTATTGTTGACCAAAGAATGAGCTCAGTTGGAGATACTTAAATTTGTTTTCTGTTAGTATTTGTTGTATAATATTAACTTTTATCACTTGAATACATAGTTATTACTAAGTACTGTCTTAAAAGAGCTTCTGTTAACTTAAAAAAATTATTATTATATATACATGAATATGGAGGTTAGAGGACAACTTTCAGGAGTCCCTTTTTCCCATCCACTGTGGGAACTGAGGCCTTAAACCTAACTCAAGTCATTAGGTTTAAGCATCAAACGCTTTTAATCACTGAACCATTTCACTGACCTTTGTTAGCTTTTTATTATGAAATAACTTGAAACTTAGATAAAATTTGAAATAACAGAATAAATTGCTTTTATTTTTGTCCTGCCATTCTTTCTTCTCTCTGTCTTTCTTCTCTCTGTCTGTCTCTCTTCCATTTAGCAGCCATCATATAACATGCGTACATTTTTACCCTTAACTCTTCAGTGATATTCAGTATATATTTCTGAAAATCAAGAACATTTTAGTCATGTGTGCTAGTACCTACTTGTAATCCCATCTTTTGGGAAGCTAAGGCAGGAGGATTGCGAGCTCAGGGCCACTTTGTGCTATGTGGTAAGACCTTGTCGGGAAAAAAAGAACATTATATAATCACAGTATAATAATAAAAATCAAGGAATTTAAATTCAACACAGTGCTGCTATATAACCTTTAGTCAGTAGTCAAATGTTGCCATTTTCTTTGATCTTGAAAGGACATTTATTGTTGTTACTGTTTGAGACAGAGTCTAACTCTGTAGCCCATGCTCTCCTAGAACATATTGTATAGATCACCCTAACCTCAAACTCACAGAAATTTTCCTGCCTCAGTCTCCAAAATGTTGGGATTACAGGTATCAGTCACCATACCCAGCACAGTGTTTTTCTAAGGAGTATTTAAATCAAAAGTTTAATATCCAGTTTTACCAAATGTTTTAAAAGCATTAGCTTAAAATATTTTATAACTACCTTTAGATATGGAAGTACACTTTAGACTATTTTTTTCAGGATTGTAGATAATCTTATTCAAATTATTAAGTATTATTAATGGCTTAGGATGATTTTTTTCCGAATCTGCATTTCTGTGTACTATTTTAATTGCTCAGCTTATTCATTAACTTTAATTCATGTAAAAGTAGCAGATGTTAATTGGTTTTTTAAAAATATGAGTTTATTTTAGAAAACCTCTTGATTGTTAAAATCTTAAGCATTTCATACATTAAGTCTTACAAGGAAAAAAAATATTACCCAAATTGTTTGTACACTTAATCATTTGTAGCATTAAATATATATTACAGAAAAGATGAAAAAATAAATATCTAGATATGTTGTGAGTTATGGAAATTCAGTAAAAGTTGGCAAGAGGAAGCTATTAAAAATCACAGCATACACTATTATATCTAAGAAAGTATTAATTATATTCTATAAGCAGACATCCAAGTGACAAAATTGCTTTAGTAAATATTGAGACATTCTTGATCAATAACAGATATGATAAATAACTTTATGAAAAATAGTGAAACACTGGAATAATGGAAATCAAACTCTAGTTCTTTTGATACCTAGTATAGTATTCCTTACACTAGATTTTACAGTTTTTAATAGATATTTAATTTAAATAATAGTTTCTACATATCTGTAGATAGGTCTAAAAGTTTGTCTGATATTAATAGTTGCTTCTGAGCCTTAAAACATGGAAATTAGGATGATAGATAATATGTAGTCACTACATAAATAGCCACTAAAAAATTCAACACTGAAACAAAATCCAAACATAGGCCCACATTTTCATAATGGAAATCCTATTTTGAAGATATAAAAAGATATTTGTGCTTTCAAATAACTACACTCAGATACAAATTTTTTAAAGCGATAGCCACCGTTGGTGATAATATACTTTTAAAATGCCTTTTGGTGTTTAAAAACAACTTTGGTTCTTATTGATCTTAGTGTCTGTTTCTCATATAATTTTGATTAGTAGCAGATTATTATCTATAAGGGGTCCATCAGTAAATTTTTTATGTAAAGAACCAGAAAGTAAATATTTTGGTCTTAGCAATTTAATGTTTACTGCAACAGCTTGGTACTGCCTGCAAAAAGTGATGGCAGACATATATGATTTGTAAACAAATCAATATAGTTATGTTTCCGTAAAACTTTAATTTACAAAAATAGCCATCAGAAAATTTTAATTCATCGTGGCTATATGTGTAATATATAGCTCAATTCTGACTGAATAGTAGAGTCACTTGGGGAGCTTTAAAAACCACTGGCAACCTCACACCAAAGACTCTATTTAATTAATCAGAGGAGACGAAGGCAGAAGAAAATAAAAGTTATGTAGTCATTTTGGATGACCAAAGTAATCTATAAAAACTAAGCATCCATTGTGAAAGGATTATTCCCTGCTGCTAATCTATATGATATTGTATATTGCCATTCTCTTCTTGCTGTTTTTTTCCAAAATAGTATTTAGTATATACACAAAGAGTAATCTTTTTTCTAATCTTGAGATTTTCAGACTGCATTGCATAATACATATTATGATTGTTTTAAATGTTTTGTTTATGACTTCCA